ATTGGATTCAAATTTAATTCCATCCATTACAGTAACCCACTTATAACCTACTGTACAGCAGAGCGACATACACGACTTACCCGCTTTTTTGTTTTGTTTTTGGGTGACGGGGTTAACATTTTTAAAATTTGTATAAAAATGCTTATTTGTTTCATCTTATTTTGAAACGTAGTACTCAACTGTCTATATCGTTCAATTATCAGAAAACCCTTAATAAAATATTGATTTAACATTAAGTACATTTTTTTTTTAAGTTCTCTTTGGAGTTGAACCCTGGACCCCCCGTAAATACGCCACTGCGTGGTTCTAAGTTTCTAACAGACCATAAAATATTACCTAATTCTTTTTTATTTTATTGATTTTACAAGTACCTACTTGTGTGGTTTTTCCATGTTTTTTGAGTATCTTTATGCGATAAGTAGGTACATRGGTACCTTGTTGAAATAATAATGCGATTTTCAACTTTGGTRTCTATTGACTATTCTAGACTTATGTAGAATATTGAATCTAGTTGGTAACATTAAGGGGTAGTTTTTATAAGATTCGGGAAAAACAAAACCAAAATAGCGGGAAAGTGGCCATAGCTCTGCTGTACAGTAGGTTATTACAAGTTGGTTACTGACTAGTGGATGGAATTAAATTTGATTCCAATGATATTATATCATTGTATACGAAAAACGATTCTGAGCGGAGACGGTTTATCTGTCAAGGATATATTATAGATTATTACTAATTATTATTAATAATTATTAAAATATCTAACCTTCCAGAAGACTTTTTTTTTTTTTTTTTGATAAAGGAAGACAAACTATAAGGAATCTTGAATTAAATGTTCAAATCTTAGATTCAAAAATAAAATATTTTTTAAATTTCCATCTAAGATGATTTGAACATTTTCGTAATTTTTTAAATTTTTACGTATTTTTTCAAAATTTGAATACTTATAAAAAAAATGTGTGTCTGAATTTTTTTTTTAACTGCTATTGTAACAATATGTTAGGAGCCTTGTATTAAATTTTTAAGCTTTTCTACCCAACAAATAMATTTTTATCAAATACATATTAATTTAAAAAACTAATAATGTTCGAAAATTGCATATTTTCAATTATAAATAAATTTCAAGTATCTGCGGTCATTTGTTTTAGAGTTACA